GTTGGTGGACTTGCCTGTGGCAGGGAGGTTGGAACTCGATGATCCTTGGGATCTCTTCCAACCCAAGCCATTCTGTGACTCTATGATCCTAAAAGCAGTATTTGGCAGGTGACCAATGCTTTTTGGTTATTTCAGACTGCAGGAGTTTACCACGATCACACATTCAGTTACTTAAAAAGTTAGATTGGTGGTCTCTTCTTACGGTATTGATTTGTGATTTTATGCTGCTCTACTTGTTAATTTTAAAAATTATATATACCTAAATCCATCAGAGTGGCAGCCTTTCTATATCCTAGTGAGAACTGTGTGTTGAAGAACTAGGTCAAGTCTCTGCCATGGGAATTGCCTACTGATTTGCTTGTAAAAATAAATAAGTAAAAATTCTATTGTTGATTTTATTTCAGCAGAACTATACCAACTATAGTTGCCAAATAATGTCTATTATAGCTGAGTCTTTTTAAGGTAGCAAGTTTTTCATTACAAAAGCTCGTGTATTCAAATGGCAATAAATAAGCCATTCTTATATTGCCTCATGTTTCTTCTGTATACCTAATTCAGGCTTTGTGTCTTTGCTTGACTTGTCTCATGCACTTTCTCCCTGTCTAGCAGCATTTATTCCATAAAGATTAGGTTATATGTTTGCTGAAGTACATAGCAAGGAAGAAAAAATGGATGAAAGCTGTTTGTGTACCCAAGACAGAAAGTCTATAAAGGTCTATAATGAACTATCATTTTTCGTGCCATGATTAGACCTTTCTTATTATTGTTAGTATTTGTATAGTAATTTTAATTTTTAAAGAGAAAGAAAGGCTGCTGTGCACGTAGATCTGCTTCAGCAGCCCTACCTAAGAGTGCATGAGGTAGCTGTATAGCCTGCTTCAGAAACAATCAGCTACATTTTCAGACAACTTTCAGAATAGCAAAAATACGCTGGCTTGTGAAATATTTTTACAGTATTCTTTTGGTATCAGTTATAACCTTCCAGAGGAAGTAATAAATATAACAACTTCAATTTCACTCTTCCGCTTCAGCTGTTGCATTTTGTTTTGGTTTTCAGTTCACCAAGAGAACCTGGTAAAAACTTTGCTTTTATTCAGCGTATTCTTAGGTTAGGCGGTTACTCTGAGCAGTTAAGTATATCAATTAAGATTCCACCATATATCTCTGTAGAAACATGTCTTGATATAACAGGTATTTTAACATGTTTTTGTTTTGTAACCTGCATGGTCACGTGACAGGATTTTAGTTCTGTGATGAGCAATTTCTGATGGCTTTGTGCCACTTGTTAGACTTTAAACTGATACCTTATGAAACTTAAAATTACTTAATTGCCTGAATTTACTAGTTGATTTTTCTATCACTTCTAAACACATTTGTTCTTCCACCATCTCAAGGTTAATAATTCTCATTAGTTTTATTTCCCATTATTGGCCAAAAATACTGCCTTAAAATGCTAGGTCCTGCAGACATTTTTTATTAAACATTGGTTCTTTTAAAAGTTCTTTTATTTTATTGTATCATTTTTTAAATACACTAGTTTTCCTCTCTTCCATTGACTAAACCTTAATCTGTTTTGATCTTTTTGTTTAAAGGCCGTTTGTCCGTGTGCTTGTGCTTTACACATTACTTTTTTTTTCTTTAGCTTTACAACCAACATCTTTTCCTTTGCCAACGTTTACCATAGATCTAGCTCTTATAAAGAAATCCACAAATTTCCATTCTTAACTTCATTTCCGGGATCATGGAATCATAGAATGGCCTGGGTTGAAAAGGACCTCAGAGATCATCTAGTTTCAATTCCCCTGCTATGAGCGAGGTCACCAACCATTAGAGCAAGCTGCCCAGAGCCACTGGATGTTGTATAATTCTTTAATGTCTGCTAGTATATCATGTTTTATCTTTTGTAGCTATTTCCACTCATTATAGTGGATTTTATGAGTTCATACCCTGAGTTGGAAAAGGCCCACAGGGATTGGAGAGTGATCAGGGTACACCTGGCCCATTGGGCTGCCAGAAAAGGTTTTCAGATGCATCTGAGCCCACTCTAGTTTATTGGTTGTTGTGTTTTTGGTGTTTTTTTTCCCTCAAGGCTTATGTTAATGTTTGAGACATTTCCACTCCATGTGCCTTAAGCTTCTTCAGGCAGAAAACTCCAAGAGACTTTTGTGGTCAATGAAAAGTACAGGCCTTATAGATTGCATATATTTAGTTTATTTTTCAATGAAATAGTCGAAAGGATGGCATCTTCTGACCTCAATGGTGGCCTGATGGAGTCAGGAAAAAGAATTTGTTTTAGGCCATCTGTAAGTATGCATTATATTTTCCTGCCAGCCTAATGCCACTGGAATGGTGCTGTTCTCCTGTCTCCCTTTACACTTGGTACACTTCATTGCCATACCCATCCTGTTACCAGTGCAATACTATTAGATTGAAAGCTGATACATAATGTATCATTTTAATTACTTTGGATGTTGTTCCACACAATCAAAGCATGTCCTTTGAGGCCACATGACAATATATAACCTCTCCCTTTCTGTCTGCGGTGAGATCCTCTGATAGAGTTTGTTAACTGTCTATGCGCCCTGTAATTTGAGGGAGTAGAGAATATGTCCTTTAGTCTTCAGAGGGAGGTACCCAGAAGTTGAAGAGGATAAAGATCTAAATAGAAACTGTGATCTGCCTTCATAAAAATTATATTTTTCTGTGCTAAACTGTTAAATTCGTTGCCAAGTTTCTTAGGAATTTAGCAAGGTTTTTTATTTGTCCCATTAGAGAGATTTCACCGTTTATTTTCATTCCTTCTGTGGGTTTCTTCTTCAGTTACATTTCCAGGATCTCATCCAGTGAATGCTGAATGCTAAGCATTGCTAAGACATTACTGTTGCTAAGTTATTGCAGCTTTACAGCCATTGCCCATATTGTCCTATCACTTTTTAAACCGAAGATCCCACTGAAGGTAGTGTGAACTTTTACATCAGATTCAATGTCAGGATATGGCTCCTTGTACAGAGTAGTCCTCCCTGCCTACTTACCAATTGTAAGCAGATCTCCTCCCTTTCCTTGCAGATAAAACTTTTTATCTGGTTCCTTTTTTTATTACGATAATATTGTAGAAAGAAGAAAAAGAATTAAAGTAGGCCTAGAACAAAAACGTTGGCTGTTAATTATCATTATAGTGCAGTTATATTGTTGTATAATTCTTATTCCCTTGGAACCTTATTGTACAGATATGTGAGGCTCATTATTTCCTGCTTCATAAAACTGACATTGCAGGCTTTCATTTCGTTTCCCTGCATAAAAATGCCACTAAAAGTGAAGTACTAACAAAACAGAACTTCACCTCTTCCTGAATTCCCAGAATTTCTCTGCAAAACAGAATATTGCTAATAGTTGGTAGGAAGAATTCTCAGCACATTTTTAAACTACTTTCAGGAGACAGTAGAAAAGGCTTACAGAGTTCATATTCATGTATTGCTGTATACGTTTGTACCTGTGTAAGCTACATTGCTGTATTTAATTTACTGGGATTTATTGGACACAAAATTGTCTTGCATATTCTACTTCCATAAACTTTTAGGAAATAGCGTGCATAAATTTTGTAAAAGATTCTAAACCTTTTCTTGTTTCTATTGTACGGAATTGAAATAATGACCATAGTATTCAGTGTTTGAGAGTAGAGAAAAGAGAAGAGAAGAAATAACTCTTGAACAGACTGCTTTCATTTATACTGATGTCAGCCTTCCTTCAAATTGGTTGAAAATATCCTGTAAAGTATTATAAGCCAGCAACTTTAGCATGTCCACTTTCGCAAGTTTATTTTGGGAATTAGAGATCATAAATGAAGTTCTCTAATTCTTTTCTAGAAACCTGGGCATTTTTTAAAGTTATTATAATTACAGGACTTCAGTATTTGGCCAAACATACAAATATTCAAATATTTCAACTTGAAGTATATTGAAGCAATACACAAGCAATAGTAATTTAAATAGTTAAGAATTAAATATTTCGTTATTTCAAACTCTTAAGCTGAACACAAAATCTTGATTTTTTGATACCCTATAAGAATAGGCAGTATTAAATTCAATTTTCTTTAAATTATAGGATGTAGATATGTTCAGTGCTCTTTGCTGATTACATTGAAATTCATTTCATATTTCTTGTTGCTATAATGGAAATTGGATAGTTTCCTTGAAGTCATTTAAAAAAAAATAAATGTTCCAAGGTGACTCATAAATTAAGTGGAGCGGCAGCCTTCTAAGCACAAAGCTGTTACGAGAAGACTTTATGATTGTATTGTACATTAATCAGATACAAAATTAAAACCTTCATCCCTCAGAAGCAGCCTGTGATTCTGTAACTGCAGTCACTCTTACGTCTTGCACTGGGCTTGGATGGAAGGCTCAGATGTTGAGAGGGTATTCAAAATAACCCAAACCTGCACCTGGTCTAAGGAGAGGGAAAGACAGAAGTGGCTCTGAATGATTTGAAAAGCCCAGCCCAGGCACACAGAGGAAACTGCATAGAACCAATTCTTACAATAAAGAAAGTATGAGGCTGCCTGCTATATTTAGTCCCCTTTCCCTCCCCTCCTTTCCCTTCCCTCACCCCACTTCCAGTGCCTATGTGTCAATTTGAGTTATAAAGCTGTCACTGACTTAATATAAATGGTTTGCTTTCTTATAGAATCCTAACTCCATCAATAAATAGATCTTCATGCAAAACAGTAGATAACTGTGCTTACAATTTTGCTTAAGTAATGCTGATTAACCTCCTTGTTTTTAATTGATTCTATATGGGGGAATATGATTAATAATTACTGTTGCATTTTTTTCCTCACACCTGAATACAACCTTCCATAAAAGAAGTTATTACAAATAATTTCTTTTTATTATTAGAAATAAATGCTTTGTATTGATCTTTGGCTTAGTCTTGCTGCTATTAAATAATAGAGAGAGAAAATAACAGTTAATGTTATATTTGTTTAATGTTTGCATTTTCAGGGTTTGCCAGGGCTGGAGGGTCCCCAAGGTCCACCTGGCAAAGAAGGTCAAAGGGTGAGTAAACTTTGTGAACAACTGTTGTGTGTGCTTACTGACCTTGATGTGTGACTTCTTTCTAAGCACTGATAAAAAATTGAAAGGTAGCAGCTGAGTATGAAGCATGTTGACAGTGAACTGAGCTTTGACATTTGAGGTTTCTCTTCAGTTGAAGGAGATGTAACAATTTAAACCATAGAAAATGTTTTAATGACTGACAGTACTGAGGTGGATATTGTCATTGTGCAACGTTTCCACTGGAATTTTAAGTGAAAGAATATTAGCATTTCTCAGGAGTTTTAGTTTTATTGGAGGAATAGACCATATCTTACTATTTCTAGGGTATATGCATTTAGGGGTATAATCTACAACATTAGAAACCAGAACTAATGACCCAAATTTTGTTGTAGATGCCATTGTACTAGTGTCCATGTTGAGCATAAATATATATATAAAAAAAAAAAAAAAAAGAGATGGTATGAGCTAAAAATGCAACACTGAATGTTATACTCATTAAATAAATGTTTGGTTATTGAGAATTTTATTGTAATGAAGTAATTGATGGATTTATATGTGTTTGTTATGCATTTCTTTCCTGTACTTACTGACTTGGGTATTTCAGTGAAACAGATAATGAATATTTATGATGCTAATTTATGCAGAAATTATTTGGTCTTGAGAGTTTATAAATCTACTCTGCTCCTAAAAGTTTGTGAAAATATTTAATTTTGCTATCATAATATTTAGTATTTCAGTTAAGTTATCTAAAGTGGAAGGCTTTAATATCGTTCATCATTGACCTTAGTCAAACACAATGAATTATTAAAAGCTAGTTTAATAATTCTAGTAATAGTAATAATAATGTAAGACCAGTTCTTGAAAAGAGAGTTTTGAGGCCTACAGATCATTACTCAAATTTTTACATTGCTATTTTCTTTAATTTATAAAAATAACACTGATTTTCTATTAAGTTAAACATAAAGTTGAAAGCTGAGGTTGTTTACATTTCAAAGTAAGACTAGTGAGTCCTCTCAGAAAAAGTCAACAGAGTAAGGTAGAATAAAAAATACATGGCAAATAGAAACATGGGATTATGGATTTTTTATTAAGGATTTTGTAATTTCTACAAGTCTTAATGTTACCCAGTTAGATAATCAGAATACTAGGAAAATACAGATACTCAGTTTTAGCATGCTTATCATGTTTTTATGTGGAGTGTTGAATCTTCAGATACGCACAGTTTGCTGCTTCTCACTTAGGAACAGTTATAAATATAACTGTTTTTTAGAGGCATTTCTGTTTGAATTTTTCTTTTTTCTTTTTTTGCGGCTGAGGTTCAGAGCAAATATGCTGTATTATCTGTAATTCTGTATAAATTAATTTCAAGATTTTTTTTTTTTTTTTTTTTTTTCAGTGGAAACTAGGGGGTTGGTAAATTTATCATGGCTATTTCCTATCTACACATAAAATTGAACTGCTATCTCACTCCAGTAGATGTAAAAACAAGAGTGATGATTGTTTTATAATCTAAGCCATGCACATAGTTGCCTTGATCCAAACAGTAGGAACTGTAGACTTCAGAATCTCAGCATCTGTCCTTATCTTACTGCCCGTGAGATATACACAATACTCATTCTGCTGGTCACCCCCACCCAGCTATTAATAACACAGTTTGCAGTTTTCATTCAACTCCCATGTACATTTGCATTTCCAATACATTTAATTACACAATAATATACTGTTTGTACTGAGAACTTTGCTCTATTTAGTGACAAACAGGACAGCACATATCTAATGGCTATTAAATATTCCTTGTTATTTAATTATAGATGTCATGTTCCTCTTTCTACTTCCAGTAGATACTCCAATTCTTTCACATTATATGAAGAACTAGTTTAGTCATGGGCTCTCTTTTGAACATTAAAGCAAAAAATGGAAGACATGATGATTTTTTTTCAACATTCTGTTCATTTTAAAGATGCTGTTGTGCCCATTTTGTGGGCTACAACTAAAACACATTAGGGATAAATAATGCACCTCAAAACATTTAAAAATAAGCATGTTTGAGTGCCAAACTTTGAGAACCTGAACTTCTTGCACTTTCCAGTTTCATTGTACATTGTCATACTCAGTTTTAATTCCCACTTCAGCAGTATTTTTAAATGCTCAGTCCTTTTGCAAATTAAGCTACTATTAATAGCAAATTGAGAATCATTAAGTGTGTGTGTGCTAGAGATCATTGACTACTTAGAAGGATCTAAGGAACTGAGGAAAATTAACATGATTGATAATTGTATGTCAAAAACTCAAAGAAACGTCTAAAAGATCCATGACAGAGCTGGTGCTTTAAGTAAGCGACTTAGGCTTGTGAATGATGGTACAAACATAGCTCAGCAATGGAATTTACTATAGAAGTGTGCAAAATACCTTCTGTCCAAGTTCTTTTCTCTGGATGGTTTCCAGGTATCCAAAGGATGAAGGTGTTTGCAGAAGGTGGTGTGCACTAATATAATATGTTTACAGAAATGAAGCATAGAGAGATCATTTAGAATGGGGGGGGTGAGACCCTGAAAGCTCTTTGTGGTCACTTAAGAAAAAACTCCAAACTCACTGAAAATTTGAAGTGGTACAGCCATGAAAAACTAGTGCAATAATAAATAAAGATTGGATTTGTTTGCATATTATTTCTTTGCTTTAGTAGAAAAATGCATATATTTTTTTCCTCAGTAAAAGAACTCAAAAGAACTGGAAGTCTAGTATTTTTAAATGCATTAGTTATGTTTATGAGAGTAAATTCTTTCTCCACATACTGGGTCCTTCTTCTCACATCTCCTTTGTTATACTTGTTCTTTCAGCCTCTACTTTTCCCTTTGATTACCAAAACCAATAACATGTCCTTCATGTTTCAGTTCCAGGACTTTCTTAAATTTCCTCTCCCTTTCCCAGCTTATATGGACTTACTCATTTCCTCTGTTTGCATGTGCATGTATTTTAAGTATATTTCATGTTCTTCTGTCCAATAAAGTAAAAATAAAAATAAAATAATGGAATAACAATTATTTGACAGTAAGTATAATGGAAAGAAACTGCAAAATTAAAGGAGAGGTGCAAAATCTATTTATGATGAGGGAAGCATTCATCCTAATCTACTACTATTTTTTTTAATGGTTTTTTTTTTATTTTTTGTTGCTCAAGAATACTTCAATAGAAAGCTTTCTTTTTTTTTTTTTCTTTTTTCTTTTTTTTTTTGTATGCTATAAAAGATCCAGGAAAGTAACCTTATCCAAAATAGATAGATCTTATCCCTATGATATTGTCCATCTTCACTGGAATTGCTATCTGTAGGGCGCTTTCAAATTCAAGCAAACCATTATCAATTTAAAGTTTTGGGGGGGTTTTGTCACCAGTGATTCAAGTGTTTGTATTTCTTTCTAAATAATGTTGCCATAGAAACCAAACTGCATAATAAAAAGGGAAGAAGTTAAGCATTACTGACTTTGAGGTTGTCAGATCATTAGTCTTTGCAATAACATGTAGCACAAGTTCCATTTATATTTCAGGTGTGTAGTTTAAGCCTAGCTAATGAACTTTCCTAGGAGAGGATCTAGTTTGATCATGGAGTAGACACCAAGTGAAAGAACAACAAAAAAGTTGAATTTCATGATTTTTTTTTTTTTTTGAGAACTGAAATGATTTCATTTTTAGCATCTTATTCTGAAAAAATCATTCTCATTCATTGTATTCCCCAAATTTATGTTTCTGCCCTTCTTTAATATTCAAGGTGCACTTCTTTCAAATCTGATCAGTTGTAAAACTGTTTTTTCCTCAAAAATTGCTGTCTCTATGTTGTGCTGTTTCTAGCATTTTTCATGCTTTCAATAATTTAGTAACAAAAAATACTTGTATATATTTCTTGCCTGTATTAAGTTGTTTTTACTTACTAATTTTCATCTTATAATTATTTTGAGTTAACCCAAGTTAACAAAGTCATCAACAGTCATCACAAACTTTTGCTGTTCTTGTGAAAAGGCCATTAGTTCTCTTTGCTCTACTACTAGTAACTTTGTTTGTGCTTTTTGTTTTTTCTTTAATTTTTAACAAAGAGGTTTGTGTTAGTTAGGAGGCCTTGCTAAGCCAGAGACATCACTTCTAGTTCTGGTCACTGGGAGAACTGGACCAGTAGATACAATTTCCTCTTCCTCCTTCCTGTGTGATAGGAATAATTTTTCATTCTCCCTTTTGTTGCTTTCAGGAACTAGGAGTAGTATATTACTGCTACAGCAACTTGATAGTATTACACTGTAGCTCAAATTACACGAGGAGCTTCAGAAAGCAATCACATGTTACTCAGAAAAGTCCCTCACCAAGAAAAAAATAGAAAGTATGAATGCTATCCTAGCATCACATGGAATTTAAATCATGGTGACAAATACCTTATACTTCTGACCTCCTGCATTAAGCAGCACATCATTATTTCTCTCAATAATCCTGCACTTTAGCTAGGTGTTTCTTTCACAGAAGTATAGTTTCCACTTGAAAGACATCAACAGTAGACTTCACAAGTCTGCTTGATTATTCCAGTGTTCCCTGAAATTTTGAAAAGTTATTCTTTACCCTTGAGCATGTAGCTTGAGCTTCCAAAAAATAGTCTTTGTCATGTCTGCATTAAAGAGACGTTTAAAGATACTTTCTGTATAATCAAATCGCCATTCCATTTATTTTTAAGTAAACAAAGGTTCTTTAGCTCCCCACGTAAGGAATTTTCTTTAGTTTCCAAATAATTTTGACATGTTGCTGTACTTTCTTCAAAGTTTCTACATTTGTAAATATAAACTGTGGAGTCATGTATAGTCCGTCTTCCATGTTAAATGTAATGAAATGTATGTTTGCAAAATATAATGACAGTCTGTGTGGATTTGAGAAGAGGAAATAGTGCTTAACAATCCTATTGCCTTCTACAGTAAGGTGACTAGTTTGATGAATGGGAGAATAGTGTGTGCTGTTGCTATCAAGTAAAA